AAATCAAACTCAGAATCCCCAAACCCCACCGTGACAACCGCCTCCTTCCACCCCACCCACACCGCCACCCCCCTCCGCCTCGCGCCGCCCCAAGGCGCTGTGGCGGCGGGTCGATCCACCTCAAAGCATCTCCCCATCTCTCGCCGTCTCTCGCCCTATCTCCACCTCGGCGCATCTCCCGGCATCTCTCTGATTAGGAGCTGCTCAAGGCGCTGTGACTGCTGCTGCTGCTGCTGCTGCTACCTCCGGTTCCACACGCGGGTACGGGTGCGGGTCGAGGGTGCGGGGTGCTCCCGTGCTGGGACCAATCGTGGTCAGTCCCGCTATGGATGCCCATCGCACAAAATGAGTACGCATAGCCTTATGCTCTGGTTTCCCGGGTGCGTAACCTAGTGCGTAGAGCTCAGGCGCCACACTGAGGCGTTTCAGGGAGCGCGCGTCCTTTAAAAAGCGTCACAGGGGAGTGAATGTTCCGCTTTCTTTTAGTGGCAGTGCGCGTCACGGTGCGCGCCACCGTCCCGTGCGGGTGCCCGCTGTTCCCTGTTCGATTATTCTTTTTTCGGAAAAAGTCAGTGCCCGCCCGCCAGGGTTCCGGCTCCTTGCCAGATAGGGGAGTCTCTCTCCACTCTCGGTGTCGGCTGTGTGTGTGGTTGAAGGAGAAGGTTGTCTCAGCAGCGGGCGGATCTCGATGAATGGAAACAAAGCGCACGATCTCCCCTCCCTGTTTGGGCTCGCTCACACATGCTACTTGGTCTGCTCGAGTCACCACCCTCTTCACTCAAACACGGGACATCCACGGCAAAAGCACGAAGATCTACAGGTGTGTGAGAGGTGTGGCCACGGTCTGTCACACGCTCATCGCACATCCACAGACGGACTCAAGATGGCGCGTACGCGTTCGCGCCCCCACCCACCGTACAAGCGAGGCCCCGCCGAATAGATAGCAGCGTCGGGACCCTCTAGCATTATCATGCGCAGACCCAGCGTCCGTCGACGTCGATGCAGATCAGACCGTCGCCGTCCTCGGAGCTGTCAAAGGAGGTGGCGCCGCAGACGAAGCCCTGGACCTCGTCGCGCACGCAGGCCCAGGCCTCCTCGAGCGGGTCCGGCGTGGCCTCGCCCGCGGCGGGCGACGCCTTGCGCCACGGCGATGGCGACCCGGGCTTGGCGACCATGAGAGGCGCCGCAAAGTTGCCGGCGACGAGTGCGGCCGCAACCAGCCAGCATGCGGGCGAGAGCGCGTCGATCTTGTCCATCATCCAGTCCGTGTAGAGGACGTCTTCGTTGAAGAGCCCCGCCGAGGCCAGCATGTCAAAGCTGCTGGGCGTGAGGGTCTCGGAGATTGCTGCGCCACCGAGTGCGGCGGCCGAGATGGAGGCGAGTGCTGCCGCCTGTTCGACGGCGGCCGGGGCCGGTCGAACCGCGGTGGTGCGAACCGGCGGCGGCGGGTGGAGTGGGTAGCCCGAGGAGCGGAGCGCGAGGCCGGCGTTGATGAAAGAGAGCATTCGTTAGGCCACCAGGGGGAAGTCGGCGACAGGGGGGCCGCCAGAGTGGTGATGAGCGCTTCGTTGAGTGTTGCTTGCCGAGATTTGTGCCGCACGAGTTTGTTTTTTTGCTCGCCCGGCAGTGCTGTAGTTTTTTTTGTGTGATGTCCAGTCCGAGCCTGACTGTTCTTCACCTTTCTACCTACCTACGTAGTGATGGGAACTCAATGAAACTCCGTCTCTCCATGGTGTGGGGGGACCATCCTCGTCACCGAACTGATAAACCTTCACGTTCGTCGCCAACCAGGTATGATGCAGGTGTGTGTAATCTAGATCATCAATTGAGATGGAAGACCACAATGGGAACTTTGAATGGCGGCGGAGACGACTGCGTCATTACAATCAACTTCCTCGTACTCGATCGGGACGACTCCATTGAGGCCAGCCGGCTCTCCTGCAATGCTGCCCTGATTCGACGCAAATACCACCATCAAATCCCAGGCCTGCACTGTGATGTCGAAGGCCCTGCAAGACGGTGTGTTCGTCTGGACATCCTCGCATTGCTGTGTAAAGGCATCGTCGGTGAGTGAAAGTGGATTCTCCATGTTCGTATCGACCGTCTAGCTCTCGAAGCGGCAGCACGAGGACGAGGCGAGCTGGTCGACGCGGTCGTGGCTTTCGCTGCAGGCCCAGCGCATGTCAGTCGCGCTGCAGCTCGCGGCGGCGGAAGAGATTGCGACCGAGCTCAGGCTCGCCGCGGCGTCGGAGGACGCCGCCGTCGCCTAGACTCCCCTGCGTCACTACGTGCCTCCCCGTCTTTGTAGCCTGGCGTTTGTGCCCCGTTTGTGCCGCGTCCCGTGCCCCCGAGTTCATTTCATATCTACAGATAACTGAATTCCCGCCGCGCTCTCCAGAAAAGAATTCCCCGCCGGCTGCGCCCTCCCCTCTCGCGCCCGTAGCCGATAGATGACGTTCCCCGACGAGTGGGGCGCCGACGGCGGCGACGGCGGCCCGACCGAGTCGAAGCTCGTCCCGCTCTCGATGCAGAGCAACGAGGCGCTCCTCATCAAGACGCTGCTGGCGCGGAGCTGCCCGAGCGCAAGGCTGAGCCGCGTGCAGCGCGTGCAGAACAAGATGCTGTGGCGCGAGTATGCCGACTACCGCGACAAATCACTCGTCCACATCTGCGCCGGCGGCGACGTCAACGAGATGCTCCTCTTCCACGGCACGGCGGAGCGGGCGGCGACGGATGTGCTCGCGCATCAGAACGGGCTCGACCCGCGCTTCTCGAACGGCGGCTTTTACGGCCAGGGCATCTACCTGGCGGAGGACCCGTCCTACCCGATCGGCGGCCGGTACGCGCACCGCATCTCCGGCTCGGGCGGGAGCCGCGTGCAGCTGCTCATCGTGAAGGCCGCCCTCGGCTCGCAGCAGGAGATGGGGCAGCGCATCAGCGCGGAGACGAGGGCGATGCGGATGCCGGACGTGCGCGTCGAGGGCCCTCCCCGACTCCTCTACAACAGCGTGCGCGGCGGGCCGCACCGCCCCTTCGTCTCCGGCGGAGGCGAGAACGGGTGCGACGCCTCCATCGTCCACGTGGTGTACGAGTCGCGCCAGATGTACCCGGCGTACGTGATCGAGGTCGAGATGGAGATGGGGGCCGAGGTGGTGGCGGCCGTGCGCAAGAACTCGACAGAGGGGAGTGCGAGCGCCGGCCCGGAACCCAAGCGGCAGCGCCACGCTGCGCCGAGCGGCGGCGGCGGCGGCGGCGGCGGCGGCTCCTCCAGCAGCGGCAGCGGCAGCGGCTCTGCTGCTCATGTCCCCGCCGCTGCGCCACCGAGCGACGCGGAGGTGCGGGCGATGGGCGTGGCGGCGGTGGCAGCGGCGCTGCGGGCGCACGGGTCGGTCAGTCGCGTCGCGCTTGCGGCTTGCGGGCGGTTGGGCCGTCTGTGCGCTGAGGTGCGGAACAAGCAAGCTGCGGCGGACGCAGGCGCGATCGAGGCGATCGTGGCGGCGATGCAGGCGCACCCGCAGGTGGCGGACGTGCAGCAGAATGGCTGCTGCGCGATGGCGAACGTGTGCTGCGGCACCGACGCCGCAGGGCTTGCACGCAAGCAGCGCGCAGCAGACGCAGGCGCGTTCGAGGCGATCGTGGCGGCGCTGCAGGCTCACCCGCAGGATGCGGGCGTGCAACAGCAAGGCTGTTTGGCGTTGGGCAACGTGTGCTCCGGCACCGACGCCGCAGGGCTCGCACGCAACCAGCGCGCAGCAGACGCGGGCGCGATCGAGGTGGTTGTGGCGGCGCTGCAGGTTCACCCGCAGGTGGCGGTTGTGCAGCAGAATGGCTGCGGGGCGATGGCCAACGTGTGTCTCGGCAGCGACGCCGCAGCGATTGCACGCAAGCAGCGCGCAGCAGACGCGGGCGCGATCGAGGCGATCGTGGTGGCGCTGCAGGCTCACCCGCAGGTGGCGGTTGTGCAGCAGAATGGCTGCCAGGCGATGGCCAACGTGTGCTCTGGCAGCGACGCTGCAGCGCTCGCACGCATCCAGCGCGCAGCAGACGCGGGCGGCATCGAGGTGGCTGTGGCGGCGCTGCAGGCTCACCCGCAGGTGGCGGTTGTGCAGCAGTCTGGCTGCAGGGCGATGTTCAACGTGTGCTTCGGCAGCGACGCAGCAGCGCGGGCGCGGAGGCAGCGAGCTGTGACTGTGGGCGCGACCGAGGCGGTGGCAGGGGCTATGCAGGCGCACCCGGGAGACGCAGCTGTTCAGAGGCGAGGGCAGCGTTTGCGTGATCTTCTTGCCTGATGGGATCCGGGCCGCGCGCGGACTAAAAGAGCGCACCATGAACAGGAACGCATAGGTTCCGGTCGCGGTGGGAAGAGCTTGCGCGATCTGCTTGTAGGCACATGTACAGTGTACGAGGGTGTAACGCTGTGCCACCGCGGGCGCCGTGTCACCACGCGTTAGTTTTTAGTGCATGCACATGGACATGGTCATGGACGTGTATGCACATCTGGCATGGGCCCTCTCCAGCAATGCGTTGGGCCCTCAAGGACTCTGCATGCGAAAACGTCCGAGTGCAAACAGATAGGACTGCCCCAACTCGGCATAGGCCCGCGTGCGGTCACGCCCCGGGCCTATGCCAAGACGCAGCTGCAGCCCTCCTTGGCGCCGGCCACGCCCTCCTGCTGCGCGTCTGCCGCGGCCGGCAGAGCGGCGAGCGCCGCCTCGAGCACCGGCACGACCTGCGCGAAGTCTGGGCGCCGAGACGGGGAGGTCGACCAGCAGGCCGAGAGGAGCGCCGCCACGTCGGGGATGGCCTTGATAGCAGCGGGTAGCTCGCAACGGTACCCGCCGTTGCAGACCTGCGAGATGTAGGCCTGCGCGTCCATCGCATAGTACGGCTTCTTGTGCGCCGCCATCTCGTAGAGAAGCGACGCCCACGAGAAGACGTCCGCCGTGTGGTCGTACGGCTTGCAGAGCGCAACCTATTGCACTCATGTCTGCGGTGAAGCCTTTCCCCCCGAGAACGCACACACACCGCCCGCGTGTGTGCGATTCCCCGCGTGTGTGTGTGCTCCGCGAGTGCGTGTGCCCCTCGTCCGCGCTAGGACGTACCTCGGGCGCCATGTAGCGGAGCGATCCTGTCTGGCCAGTCATCTTTCGGCCGTCGCTGGGTCCGTCGCGCCGCTTGCTTACCTCCCACAGCTTGCAGAGCCCAAAGTCAAGCAGCACCGCCCGCCCGTCCGAGGCAAAGCCGACGTTGTCCGGCTTGAGGTCGCGGTGCAGCAGCCGATAGCCGGGCAGGAAGCTGTTGTGGCAGTGGCGGAGCGCGCTGGCGATCTGCCGGCCCACGTCGATCGCACGCCGCACCGGCCACGCCTTGACGCCGCGCTTGCGGGCGAGGGCGGTGGCGGTGAAGGCGTCCGGCGGTAGCGACGCCGAGAGGGAGGCCGAGAGGAGCTCGAGGCAGAGGAAGGGGACCAGGGCCCCGCCCGCCTGGGAGCCGGCGGCTGGGCGGGTGCCGAACCCGAGAGCGCGGATGATGTGTGGGTGGTGCAGCCGCGAGAGCAGGGAGGACTCCCTCAGCAAGTCCGCCACCGCCACCTCGACCTTCTCCTTTTCGGGTCGCAGCGTCTTGACGGCGCACGGCGCGCCGTCGAGCGAGCAGGCGGAGGCGACGCAAAACTCGCCTGCGCCGAGACGCTTCATCGGGCCGAGAGACGCCCACTCCACCTCGTTCGAGCCGACCGGCGCGCTGACCAGCGCGATCGTCGTGCGCCAGGAGGCTTCGGCCCGCGAGAACGAGCCGCGCGTCGCGGCCTGCAGCTTTGTGGCCGCCTTCTGCTGCATCACCGTCCCCGCCGAAGGCTCAGGCAAGCTCTCGGTGAGTGGGGGGAGGCGGCGCCCCGAGCCTGAACTTTCGGCGGGCCCCGAGTTGGTGAATGCCGATTCGCTCGCGCGCCGCCACGCCGTTGAGTCGGTGGCAGCAAAGGCCCGCTCGTCGCAAAAGACAGAGGGGCGAGAACGCAGCCGTCCTGCCGGCGACGATTTGGCAGAGTACCGACTGAGACCCTTTTCATCAAACTCCTCCCAGGAGTTCGAAGGAGCCATTGGGTGAGGAAGGTTGAACCATTTACTGTCCCGTTTTGCTGTTCACAGCTAAGGACGGCCTCTGCGGCAAAGTCAAACCACCCCACCTACCACCTCCCGCAGGCAAACCTTCGGCTCCCGCTCAGAGGCTCGCCGCGCCCGTGCGGCGCGCCGAGGCGGCCCCGAGGCCGGCGCCTTGCAAGAAGCAGGCGCCGTGCTCCAAGAGTGCACACCTAGTTTTCTTTTTTTAGAGTCCTTCGTTGTTAATAATAATACAAACACAGTGGTCCCGTGTCGTAGTCACACCTGCCGTATCCACACACACGCACACGCCGCTCAGGCCTCAGCACCGCTCGCCCGGCCCCCGCCCCGCCCCAGGCGCGGGAAAGAGATGAGGAGATGGGACAGCGAAGGAGGAGCCCAAGGAGCCCAACACGTATGGGAGGGTAAATTTTTCTTTCCCCCTTACGTACGTGTAAACTTTACGGCTTTTTTTATTTTTTAATACCAAAAGCTAGCAACGCCCTCTATGTTGGGTTACGGCTTTTTCCCTGCGAACGCGCACCCCCCAGGGCTAGGGCTCTCTACGTCTCTATCTAGCCCGAACCCGATACCGATCATCTGGCCCGCTGGGTGCGCTTCTTAGCTCCCCGGCCCTGGATGTGAGGTTACCGACTGCACTCCAAGTGCTCCAAGTTCTTTCCGAGTGTACCGAGATGCGAGAAGAAAATGATGAAAAAAACTTAAGGAAAGTGATCCCGCTCGATCGAGGAAGTGCGTACTCCGTTCCTTACGCTTCGTCGCCGCTGGTGTACGCGCCGGTGCGGCGGCCGTCACCGTCGGCGCCGTCTCCTGCGCCATCACGGCGGCGATCTCCTCTGCATTCGCTCTCCTGAGAACCTCCCGATCTCGCGAAAGGCAACATACTCGAGTATCCTTCGCAAACAGTACGTGCTTTTAGCTTATTGGGAGAAAAGGGAGAGGGGCTCCAAGGGGGTTGTGTACTGGGATGATGTAGAGAGTAGAGTTTGTTGCAGAGATTTCACGTTGTAGAGCGCCTCTACACATCGCTCTACATCGGACTCACATCGTCCCGCGCCGAATGTAGAGCTCTACAGCTCTACACACTACAGCGCTCCATATCCAGAGCGCTCTAGCTACATCTCTATTCCAATCCTCCGAGGGCGCTTTCGCAACTCCTTTTATGGTTTATCTTACCCACACGTAACGAGTACTCGCCAGGGCCCGGGCTCCTAGCCGGATAGGGGGTCTGTCTGTCCATACATACTGGCTGGCCCCTCCCAAGCGATTTGGTATACTTTTCCGGTAAAGGTCCTCAGAAGAGACGGGATTTAGGGACATGTGTCCCCGCCCTGCACGATCTTGGTGTGAGGTTCAATTCAATAATCTAATAAAAAAGCGCTTGCGCTTCGGCGGTAGTGATCTGATCACCCGAATACCACGTTCGGATCGCTCCTCATCGCAAACCCTGTCAGCAGTTCACCCTCGGGTATGTTCGTAAGAGCTACATACACTGAAAAACATTGTGAATTTGTGATCCCTTGGAGTCGCGCGGTCCCTACCGAGCCCTTGCTGTCCCGAATCCAGCAGCGTTGTGGGTATGGCGTCCGCAGCCCGCACGGCGGGTTGAGGTGGCGACGGGAGAGGTGAGTGACGACGGTCGCGGGCAGTGACACCGAGGGCAGCGCCGATAGGGCCCTCCCTGCAATAGGTAGGTAGTACCCCTATATCGCCCTTTTCATCTGTTTTCGCTTCGCGCGCGGCTGGGGATAGGTAGGGCGTTCGCTTCGTCGGGCGTTTTGGCGCGACAGAACGCAACCCCATCTGCGAGGAACTCGAACCCCAACACTCAAGAAGATTGCAGCAAAGTGATTGCGCCCTGCCACCTCGCCAGCGCCTGGCTCATCTGCACACGCGCACACGCTCCCCCTACATTTTCTCGCTCCCTCTCGCCCCTCACCCAACACCTGCCGTCTCCCGTACTGCAGGTCACAGCGATGCTCTCCCTCGCAGCTTTCGCGACGACCGCCTACACCGTGCCGACAATCTACCCTCGCTCCCAGCCCAAGGCTGTCGTGGCACCCATGGCCGGCCAGCAGCACGGACTCTTCTGCGAGGACGAGTACAACCCAGCGACCGGACACGCCGAATCGGTACGCGTCCACACTGCCCCACCGCCCGCTGCGCCTCGGCAGGCTCCCAGGCCGCCCCGTCGTGAGCCGCCCTGTTCTCGAGCAGGTCTGCGTCGTCCCGCCGTACGCCGCCGGCCTCGCAGACATGAAGGCGGGCCGCGCCACCCTGCTCGGCGACTATCCCGCTCCGGGCGCAGGTGCGAGCCAACTCTGCCCCACGCCCCTCTCAGCCCGCCTCTCTCTCCCGCCTGACCTTATACACCGCCCACCCGTACGCCTCCGCTCCGCCAGGCACGCGCTGGGCGTGCTCCAAGCGGTATGGCGCCAATGCCGAGGAGGAGTGGGTCAACGGCGCGCTCCAGTGGGTGCACTACGTGCGCTGAACCGCCGCGCCCAGCCGCGCGCCCGGCGCGAGCTTAAAGAACTTGGCCGGGCATCGCAGCTCTCACATGACTCTGTCTGGCGTCTGCATGTCCGCGGCCCCAGGGCCTTGTCTCATTCTGCGCGACGGCGTGCTCCCACCGCCACTCTAGCGCTTGCTGTCCGCCTGGTATGGGTCGCTTTCGGCTGTATCGTTCCATGTTTCCTCGCGCACCCCGTCTCGTTTCCTTTCCGTGTTTCTCCACAGCACCCTCTATCCTCTTTAGTTTCCCGAGGAAACTCCGTGGAAATCAGCTGGTTTGGGCCCAAAATCAGCCAAATCGGCAAAATATCCGGTAAGCGGTATTTTGACGGTATAACT